AAATGGGAATTGTATTCAGTGGAAATATATAGACGAATTAATGAAGTTGCAGGAAACTGAGGGTTTACACCTTGGAAATAAACTACGTTCTGCACACGTTTATTTCGTGAAACAGAAAATGAAAGTAAAGCTGGCTGTGCAGTTATTAAGCAATTCTGTGGCAGATGCTCTAGAATATTGTGATGCTCAATTAAATTTGGATGAGTTCAAGGGGTGTAAGGGAACGGCAAGTTTTTTGAGAATTATCAATAACATTTTTGATATATTGAATTGTAGATCGTTAGTATGTTATGGCTACAAGAAGGCATTATGTGCCAAAAATATTGAAAATCATACTGAATTCATTCATTTTGCAATTGAGTATTTATCACGCTTAACTTTTGTGGGTAATGAATTAGTAATTAATTCCAGACGAAAAACGGGATTTCTTGGCCTTATTTTATCTCTTAAAAGTGCTTTACAACTTTATAGTGAAATGGTTCTTAATAAACGGCTATTATTCTATTTACCAGTATACAAAGTTAGTCAAGACCACGTAGAATTATTTTTTTCGTCTGTACGTTCAAAGGGTGGCTGGAATAATAACCCCACTGCCAGGCAATTTATGGGCGCTTATAAAAGACTTTTGGTAAGGGGAGAAGTGAGAGAGGGTGGTGTAGGGAATTGTATTCCGTTGGATCAAGTCCCAATTCTTATGGTGTCCTCTAGTATACAGAATAGATCTACCACCCCTGAATATTTCATTAATCTTAGTACGCCAGGCAATAAAGAACAAGCCTTAGAAGCAGAAAACATATGTGGAATTTGGAATGAACATGACTACATCATAAATGATATTACAATGACAGATTGCTCATCACAAATCGTGGTATATATATCAGGTTTTGTTTCGCATCATTTGCTGAAAGTTATAAAATGTGAAATCTGTGCAGCATCATTAATAGGAAATGGTTCAACATTTTTAAATTCATTGATTTCTAAAAAATCGCAAGGTGGACTAACATATCCCTCTGAGGATGTGGTAAAAATTTGCAATAAAGCTGAGCGATATTTACGTGTTTTTAATAACAAAATACATAAGAAGAACTTTGTCATGATGTTGACTAATGAACTGATTTCTGATTGTATAGATTCCAAGGTATTTCAACGCTTAAACGATCACGTGTTAGAAAGCCCTGTCAATCATATGTATTTTTTGATAAAATCTATTTGTGTAAAATATTTGAATGTCCGGATACATTTCATTACAAAAATTAAGTCTCAGCAACAAGATCCCATAAGAAATCAATTAACCAAACTTATTTTGTTCAGAGGCCAATAAAAGTTGTTATTATGGGCAGTATATGCTTCCTATAAATCTATTTTAGTCAGTAGTTTGATTGTTTCAGTATTATAATAAAGTATTACATATAATAAATTATTATAGTTTAAGCAGAGATTTAAGCCATATCACTGTATTAAGGAATATTTTACCTTAAGAAGTTTCGTTTATACTTTGCCGTGCCGGATTAATAAACAGTGCAACGCACGAATTTCATTCGTATGTTCAACGTGTTTTATTATCTATAATCTCCCAATAACCGTAATAAAACAAAAATGTGTAAAAGGAGTTTGTTTTTGATGTACTTTTGCCCCCTTTCGCATTTACGGATGCTACGGCACTGGCCGATGTCATTATGTGGCAGATTGTAACACTACCGCTAGCGAATTATGCGTCCATATTTTTCATTGTCTAAGATTCAACTCATGTATAAAAAATCGCATAAGCGGCAGTGAAATTGTCACTTTGACAGCGGCAAAAGTTACCTGCAACTTTTCCAGCGACAAATGCACTAGTGGTTTTTTCACTTATTCATTTTCGAACCAATTATCGCATTACCCTTTCCCATATGATTAGCTTGACGTCTGTCCATAATTGACTAGTTTGGTGAATTTCTTGTTCGTTAAATTGTCCTGCCGAATTACACTCGAGGTTTGTATTTAAACCGAGTAAATTTGGGTTGTGGCAATTCAAATCTGTTTCCTTTTAGCAATTGCACTCGAAAAACTGTCAACCTAAAAATGCTCCACCTGCGGTGTCGCATTTTTATTAGTTGACAGTTTTTCTCGTCTAATTGCTAGGCAACAGATTTTTATTACCTAAACAACCCAAATTTACTCGGTAAAATACAAACCTCTTGTGCAATTATAAGTGAGAAATGATCACTGACTTGCAGAACATTCATACTACAATTGTGACAATTTAATTGAAATCCTGGTACTTCCGGGAAGAGTGTCAATTCTGCGTTACTTCGTTAAACTTCATTCTGTGCGCTAGACCTACATTTCTTAGCTGTACAAACAGTTCCACTGCGTTAGTTTGACGAAACCTTTACCCGTGGCAGCACTACCTACACAATTCCAATTTCAAATCGTAAATTTCAAATTAAAGCGAATCTTACCAACTTTACCACTTCCATTTGGCTTGCTGCCAAGTAATGGGAACCGATCTCCACTGTAAATACCCTCGTTGTTCACATCTCTTCTCTGACATCTGCCATCTTTACGAACGAGGATAGCTGGTCATAAGCAAACCAAGTAAAAAGACACTCTCGTCGTAAACATTTTACAAAATGCGACAGGGGGGGCCCTTATCGGTTACCAGGATTCGCATCCCAATTCCTTCAGTCATTGCGGCACTTCTTCCACAATCTCTCTTGATTTTCTTATCACTTGCACTTCAACAGGTGATTTTTTTCAAAGTAACTTATGCATTAAGAATCAGATTTATAGTATATTAGCATTGAATAATAAATCTGAAATTCAATGATATTAGTATAAACAATGAACTGTGTGTTAGAGGTTATTGAAATTTTACCATTGGCGCACGATACAGTGAGTGTATGGGGTGTATCGTGCATTGGCGTACCTGTTCAAAGTAATTTTTGTGGTAGGGTTTTTCTACGTTTTTGTATCATATACTTATATAATAATAATTGATAATAATAGATATTTGCTTATTATACAAGGTGTACTTACAATGATTCATTTCGCTATTGAGAATTGAATGCAATTATTTTAACGTTTACAATGTGTTTTCAAAAAGCACAAAACAAAAATGATCATTTTCTCATATTGCGATTGATTATATTTTACTTTTCAGTTCTTGACGAACGAGTGCCAGAGAAGTGTGCAGTGTTTCATCATTACTTTGGTTGATATGGTTCTTCCCAGGACAGACTGAATTATTGAGGAAAGGGTAAGTGTCCATTCCTTTTTATTGCCAGTGTTTATTGCTCAATTTCTTTAAGAAAACGGTCAAACAAACAATTAACGCTTGAGTACTGTCCCAGTCAAAATTTTCAATTGTTTTAAACTATACATAGGACTTTAATATCATTTCTAACGTAAATCTTCTCTTTGTTACATTGCAGAAAGGCGGCCTCATAAGGTAGGGTTTTTCCTTTTATGCGTGGTGTATTGCATGTCATTTTTTGTACGGGGGGCAAAAGTGAATAGTGAATATCAACCAGAAGGAAGACTAATAATTGTTCTGAGCATGAGTTTCGTGTGTATAGACATTGATTATATACTTCGTAAGTACCTATATAATCAATGGTATAGATATGAAAATTGAAACAGTTCTCCCTGTCTGTCATCCTAGTGACGTACGATTGACTGCAATTATTCTTAGGATAGACTTTTTCGCAGCGTCCATCAGTTTCCTTCATATTGGCGAGTGTGACTGCGAATTCACAGCCATACCAGCTCTGTGATGCAAACAGATTTTCTCTGCGAATAAGTCTAAAGAATCATTGGTGCCGTTTTTTCCGTTCCCAAGTCTGAGGGACTTTGAGGATTATTACATTTTCATTTATTATTGCACGAAGTTCATCTTAGAGGAAGGTAAGTGCGTGGTCATAATATAATAATGGATTACAGTACTAAAAACTTTATGTGGTTACCTAGCTACGTAACTAATCTCATCGATTGTTACAGGCGCCATCGACGTCGCTCAACCTGCTGGTGAGGATTATGCTGACCGCCAGTGCCGGATTAAGTTTTCCCGAGGCAGGGGTTACCTACGAAAGCCCCCCTCCACCCCTCCCCTTATCAAAAATTTCGGTTCCAACTTTTACCTTTTAAGACTGTCAACAAGCAATTGAACAAGAAACTAAATTTTTTGGTCCCCTGATTGATTATTGAGATTATTGTTTGTAGCATCCAATTATTTTGAAATTATATACTTGCTTGCCACACTATGTGGTATTTTTTAATGGTCAATAAGAAGTTACAGATATTTCCAAATTTTCAAAATACCAGATTTACGGGAACATTCGTATTACTTGGAGTCGCCTCCGGGTTTCTAGGGCGGTAGCCCCCATTGCCTCCCTCTTAGTCCAGCGCTGCCAACGACCTCTGCGATGGATCAGCTCGAATTCAAGCTTGCTTTCGACTCAGTTCAACGATTATATGGATATGGATCACGCAAACTGTCCATAACAGAAACACAAAACTTCATATAATTTTTGTTTAGTTATTGGTAATGGCGTTCGAGGAGAATCCATGGTAGTAGCTCGAGGTGAATCCATGGTAGTAGCTCGAGGTGACCGTGAACTCCTACGGTGATGGTGCTTCCTAAAGCAGGCCTTCCACGTGCATTCATTTCATCGAACTTGAACAGGACCAAGTTCGAACGTGGAAGTGGTCATCGCGCAAAGTTTGCATCGTTCTTGGTGCGGAGCGAAGAGTTTTGCCAATCCAAAATGCTTGGCGCGGACCGATGCTGGGCGCGCGCGTGGATGTGGTTGTCGCTCCTGGAGTGAAGTCATAAGAGAGATAGATTTACGCATTGCAGTATATGAGGAACGGAAAATGCATATCGTTGTTTTCGCGTGCACAATCGTACCTGTATTTGTTCGCCAAGTTTGTACGAACCATGTGCGAACGTAGAAGTGGTGTTTCAAGTTCGAACACAATTCAAATTTTAGCGCGCTTGCGCAGTATTGAAGGAGTCAATGTGCAACACATCTGCAAGTCACCAAGTACGAAGTTCACATTTTGAGGTTATAATTTTGAAAACCCAATTTTTCATTAATATTCTTCTCGCTCTCGCAGTGTAGTACTATTTTTGTAACAGTCACAACCATGTCGGTGTGGAAAAAAGCTTCCAAAGTCAATCAAAAAGTGCATCGGGAAAGAAGTCAACCAGCAGATCGACAACAATTGGGTTTGCTCGAGAAACACAAAGATTACAAAAAGAGAGCCGTCCATCACAACAATCAAAAGCATGTGTTGCATTCACTGCATAAGAAGGCTCTTGATAGAAATCCTGACGAATTCTACCACCACATGATTAACTCGAAGGTTCACGAGGGTGTACATCACGAACATGAAAGGAAAGAAGAAGACACCCCGGAACAGATACAACTGATGCATAGCCAAGACATAAAATATGTTCAATTCAAACGCACTCAAGAGCAGAAAAAAATAGAACGTTTACAAGCGCAGTTGCATCTTTCAAGCGTTAACCAAAACATTGCCAACAGTCATAAAAGGTTTAAGCGAAACACGACGGATACGAGCTTAGTTAAGAACAATTTGGAACACTTGTGCAACTTTAAAATCCCGGATGTTAACATAACACGTTTAAAAAATGCGGCAATAACAAGAAAACAAAAATATATGGAGTTAGCGAAACGAATAGAGCGTGAAAGGGAATTGAGTGTTATTCAAGAAAAATTGCATATTAAGAAACAAATAAGTGGAAAAAGTATTTTAAAACCGAAAAGAATGCGAAAGGGAAGTAAGGATTCTGCGCCTATTTACAAATGGAAATATGAAAGAAAACATTAATTTTAGTATTCTGTAAACCAATACTTCTTTTGTATTATTTTAATAAAATTGTTCTTGTATCTGTAGGTGTATGAAAATGATTCCGGTTTCCCCTAATTAAATATTTTCAGACCCCTGGAGGTAAACGGGGGCTTTGCAAGTGACCTCTTAAAAAGTACCTATTTATTTAAAATTTCACTTTAGGTCTATTCCACATGTACGAGTTTTTCCTTTAAAGAAAATCTCATTAACACAATTTAAAGTGGTCAGTGGCGTACGTCAGCAGCGTCAAGGGATATATATTTTTTAATAGCAACTCCTATTTTTTATTAGATATCTCTTGAAGTACAACACACCTTGGTGGATATAGGAACATAAAAAATGTATTATATAAATAACAAAAAATAGACCAATGAAGAACAATTTGAACACTCGATTGGTTAACTAGCAGACATGGACCCAAAAAACACAGTGTTCATTTTACACTGAAACCTATTTTTTGTGTACAGAAATATTTCAAATTTTAATTGTCCCATATCTACAGGCCAACTGCAGAGAATTTCTCCAATACAGTAATTTATAATAAACACAAAAATAAGATGTGGGTTAGTTTTCATTGTCACAATGAAAACGTTTATTAAAAAATACACATACGATGCAGACAGAAAATTACATTTTATTTTGAAAGAAATTCTGAAAACCTTTCTCCAATGAATGTGTATACAGGCTGATGATGATTGCTAATAAAATTCAATTAATTCACTGTAAACAATACAAACATCGTCTTATGCAACTTTTATATCCAAAAATGTTACAAATCAAATTGTATGAGCTTAGAAAAACCTAGTTTGCATTATGTAGCAACACAAAAATCTAGCCGCCCTGTTTCTACATCCTCTTCTCGTTACAGGAATATTGGATCGGTTTGGAAGGGACCGGTAAGGGAATAAAGTAAACAATTTGAATGTGTTTTGCATCAATATTAATTTTTAAAAGAATCTTACCATAATTTATCTAACTAAAAAGTTTATAGCTTATTTCCCATTGATAACAAAAATAAAGTGATATTTATAAAATAAACTTGACCGCCACTACACAAAACATGTATGAATGTATTCTTGCTTTAAAAAATGTATTGACAACAATCTGACATTAATTTTAAACCAAAAACAAATACAAATGCTTGCTTCAAATCCAAAGGGGTGATTTTTTATCAGTCGAATTGACACTTACATTGAAACAAACACTTATAGACGGACACAAATGGTAACAATAAAATTTATACAAAATAAACTTTAAAATAAGAATAAAAATACTAGGAAAAATAAGAAATAATACAATTATTGGGAGTAAGTGGAAACAATCATCTACCATTTAAAACTCGCATTACTCAAGTGTAGAAATTGCTTCGATGCGTTCTTCTGCAAATTATGGTCAGACATTTATTGTTTACACTGCCGGTATTATTTCTCTCGTTAGTCGATATCTTTAAGACCTGTATTTGCTGCATGTACTGACAATTTCGCTTTTCATGATCAGATTTCACTTTGTAATTTTCATTATTCGCTCCCGCGATTCGCGCAAACGTCTCCAGCGTCATATATTAATAGGGTTGTGAAAATTGGGCATTCGGTTGGTAGAACGCCGATCGATCTCCTTGATACGTCGAATCTTGGGATAGTAAGCCGTCCAGTTGGGACTGATACTCGGTCATATACGGATCTTGACTCAATTCGGGTTGAGATAGTCCGGGTTGCGAGAGGCTAAATCCGGGTTGGGATAATCCAGGTTGTGACATGCCTTGTGTTAATTGTAAGCTTTGACTAAACGGTTGTGTCTGTTCTTGACTTAGTCCTTTGTTGCGTTGACGTATGGGCGTTTTACGATTGCGCGAGTTTTGAACTTGACGTTGTAACGCTTGCTGGTGTTGGTTATAGAATCGGGGAGGAATGTGCGCCATGTTCATAAACATTCCCATTGGAACCGGTAAGTTGTTAGTGTTGGCCTGGGCGCGTTCCGGGGAGATGTAACTTATCGGATCGTGAGTTCTACTAAACATATCGAGAGGAACTGCACCTCTGGGGTAACTATAGGATCCTCCATTCATCGTCACATTATTACGATCGTAAACTGAACCGGGAACCATAGCCTCACGTGCATCGAACATGGATGTGGTCATAAAGTGAGATCCTGGATTTTCAGAATTAATCAATTTTTTTGGTTTCGCAAATTGAATCAGAGATTCTTTTAAATTAGTAAGCGGTCCTTCTACGAGCACCTTTTGTTCTTTGTAGAAGCTCAAGAGGTGGTTCCACAAGGGCTGTTTAGATAATACTTTCGGATTTCCAGCGATGATAATTCCGTACTTGGCTCGAGTTAATGCGACATTTAAGCGGCGTGGATCGTTTAAGAACCCTATACCTTGGTGTTCATTTGAGCGAACACACGACATGATGATTATGTCCTTTTCTCTACCTTGGAAAGCGTCCACACTAGCAACCTCAATTTCTTGATAGAGTTTTCCATGAAGTGAACCTTGATATTGCATATACTGTACTAAATAAGCCCGCTGTCCTTCATAAGGCGTTATTATTCCAATTTGTTCGGGCTTAATACCGGATTTTAAAAATCGGGTGGCTATCTTCTCAACATTAGCAGCTTCTGTACGATTTAAATAACTGGTACCGGAACCGGCGATTTCTTCTTGACCTTGTGTTACATAAAAGAACATAGGTCTGTCTAAAACGGGCCATGGGAAATCTATCTTCAACAGTTTACGTTCATCTGCACAGACGCCATTCTGTAGGCTACCCTCATAAAAGAAATTCGATGGAAATCTCGACAACTCCGGATGCATACGATATTGGACTTCCAAACGGAAAGGCCTTATCCCCAACACGACAAGTCGTTCGAACAAACTCTGAGAAAGACCCGCGCGAGCCGCCTTCTTACACATGACAACGGGACCTAATTGACAGTGGTCTCCCACCAATATCAACTGCTTTACCCCCAGTACCACGGGCACCATACACTCGGGTTCCGTCGCCTGCATACTTTCGTCAATTAAAATGGAATGAAACTTGAGCCGGACAAGACGGGGATCACCGGCACCAACACATGTACAGCAAATAACATCGGCCGCTTCCAACAGCTCCCTCTCGGCGGATTTTTTTAGCATTCGATACCGTTTCTCATCCACCGAGCTTAATTCCCCGGTTTCGTCTTTCAACTGCTGCAGCTTTTGTAGTTCCGTGTTCGTGTCCAATTTCCGAATTTGATTGTGCAACGCCAGAAAGCTAACGGGCGAGTCGATCGCTTCCCTCGATTTTGCGCATAAACGTACAACTTTCAAGTTGGTACGGTGAATTTTTTCAGTTAGCTGATCTACCGCCGTATTGCTCGGGGCACAAACCAGCACCGGTCCACCGTTCTGCTTAACCAGCTGATAGACAATGGTTGCTGAGGTGACCGTTTTACCTGTACCCGGAGGGCCCTGTATTAAAGACAGAGGTCTCTGTAACGCATGCTTAACGGCATAGACTTGTGAGCGATTGAGATCTGGTAGGTTAGGTGCAGAAAAGTGTTTGGGGAGATGACAACGGAATAGGACCTCTTCTACTTCGTGGCCGAGAAGGCGATGGTATATGTAAGCGGATACGCTTGTGTCGTCCACAGCGAATTTTCTAAGCGCCAGCTGCATCCTGGAATTAAAACACAGCATAATACGCTTTTCTACAGTACCAGTCTTCTTGAATCAAACTACAAAATATGAACTATTTTCGCTTCCTTTCTTTTGTGACCATACTTTGCATCTACTATCTCTTTTTGTATACAGGGTGTTACATGACCGTGTGTAAAAAAAAATTGGATGATAGAGGTGATCAAGACGAGCACATTTTTCTAAATAAACCGGAGGTCCACAGTGATTCGTTTGGGAGCCACCCCCCAAAGAAATGGTGAAATTTGGATTTCGTCTTTAATGTTTTTCTCAGCAACCATAAGAGAGACAAAGATGGGTGGCACGTCTTTGAATAGGTTTTGGGGCATGCCCTTTCCAATTTGGCATAAATGTTTTCAATATTCGTACCACGAAAGGGAGCACCTCTAAAAAAATTCTGATTTCGACGGAATTTTTGAGAGTTTTTGAACATGAAAATCACGAATCTGAAACTACTTTTTGAAAATTTGAAAAAAAAATTAAATACAACGAAAATGAAGAGAATTCCACGAAATTTGTTGTGTACATACTTGCTGAGTTAAGGAACAAAATTGTCGAACAGTTTATTTTAAAATCACTCCAAACAAAAGTTATACTCACTTGAAGATTGGGCCTTCGGGTTACAAAGTGTCCCCCGCCTACTAGTGAGTGATCTAATTTGGAAAAAGTGCTTGTCTTGATCCCCTCTATCACAAATTTTTATTTACATATGGTCATGTAACAGTGAAATTTAAAAAACGCAACAAACTGTCGCCTCTTACAGTTTTTGTTCAAATAGAATGAAATTTGGCAACTGTGTGTATGTGAGGTATAAACAAGTAGTTCAAATGTTTTTTCTCCAAAGATTTTTTTGTCAAATTTACAAAATTGCTGGTACAGTCCCATCATATTAGGAAATTACCTACCTAGAAAAAATTCCTTAAAACGGGATACTACTACAACGATTGCGCGGAGTAACTTAATGCCTTGGAGATAAGATTTTTCGATAAGAGTGCTTTTGTATTATGATATGGTTGAATATTCTCCACATTTTAAAAATATTTGGAATTATACAGGATGCGCCCAGAAAGTAGGGCACCAAAATGGTACATTTTTTTAAATAGAACCCCCTGTATTTGAATGCATTTTTGAATTCTACGTGTAATTGTACGTCTATTTTATTATATGGTTAATATCCGAAAAGCTAGTAGTTTTAAAGATAATTCGATTTGTAAGAAAAATTGGGCATTTGCAAGATATTTCAAAAACTATCATTATTACCAAAAGTTGAAGGTTTTTGGAGGAGCTAAAAGATGCTAGAAAAATATACAGGGTGTTCCATTTAAAAAGTGAGATTTTTTAATATGAAGTTTTGTAACTTTGGATCTACAAAAAAACACCCTGTAAGCTATTTTTTTAATGTTTCATAGTAGATGTATTTATTTGACTTTTACTTAAACCAGGATGAGATATAAAACCTGAAATCAAAATTTAAGTAATAACTTTGACAATATACTGGCACTTGCAGATGCCCAAATTTTCTTAAAAATCAAATTACATATATTTAAAACGACTAGCTTTTCGGATATTAACCATATAATAAAAAAGACATACAATTACACATAGAATTCAAAAATGCATTCAAATACAGGGGGTTCTATCTAAAAAAATGTACCATTTTGGCGTTTGGCGCCCTACTTTGTGGGCGCACACTGTATAATTCCAAATATTTTTAAACTGTGGAGAATATTCAACCATATCATAATACAAAAGCACTCAATCGAAAAATCTTATCTTCAAGGCATTAAGTTACTCCGCGCAATCGTTGACTCACCCTGTACATGCAACTTTATACGTATACTACTGCTTCATAATGAAAGAGAACAGAACTAATATTCGAGAAATAAAGGTTTCTTATTAATTATAAGGGCACACTTTCCACGTTTAGGGGAAAGGGGGTCATTTCGTATTTGGATTCGGCGAAATATTTAATTGGGAGAGCGGCATTCTTACTCAAATTTTCAAAGAGCGCTCTCTTTCGATTGCGTATTTTTTTTTAGCCAAACCATCGGCGAAAATTTACATATTGTGAACGCGAAAGATTTAATAGATCACGTAAAACTTCATTATTAATTAAAAGTTCAAACCGAAAGCCATATAACCACAGTGTATGGGAGAATCGTCCTCGTAACCGGAGAAAGTGCCTTCTAAATTCACTACGAGTTGCCAGCAGAAGTAAATTAATAATAAGTGGCTGGTTTATGCAGAAAGGGAACTCCTTTGGGTGAAAAAGGCAATCGGACGTCTGCTATAATATTCCACCGTGAATATTGCAAAGCGTTACTGTATTGATACACAAGCGAACATTTTTTGTTTCAGTGCATATTTGGATTAAGGTGTTCGCGTTGAAATAAATTGTTACTAAGAAAGCGTTTGAGTCTAAGGTGCAAAACATTTAGTTGTGCCAGAATTGTAGTGGCAAATTATGTAAAAAACCCATTTTTAATCAAAGTGCATCCAATTTGTTTGTAAAATGTGCAAAAAATTTACGCTACTGGTAAAAAAGTTAAAGACAATTAATTCAAAGTTTTGTTTGCTGGTAAAACTCTAGTTACAAGGACACATTTTTGAGCAAGTGATTTTAAAAAACCATTCGACAATTTTGTTCCTTAACTCGTCAAGTATGTACACAACAAATTTCGTGGAATTCTCTCCATTTTCGTTGTCCGGCCAAGAATTGCAGTGGAACTTTTTTTCGAATTTTCAAAAACTAATCCCAGATTCGTCATTTTCATGTTCAAAAATCACCAGATGCCAAATTTCGTCAAAATCAGAATTTTTAAGAAGTGCGCCCTTTCGTGGTAGGAATATTGAAAACATTCTTGCAAAATCGGAAAGGGCATGCCCCAAAACCTATTCAAAGACGTGCTACAAGTACGAGTAAAAACGACCTTCTGCATTAAGCAAATAACACAAACTATTGGAACGAAGGCTGTCCTAATTCCTCATGATGCTCTATTTCACTCCACTATGACATATGCGATAGAAATACGAGGTCACTCTCCATAGGCTAAATAAATACTTCAAGAACAAAAACAGGCAGAAGTCTAGAGGGAATAAACACACCTGTAAGCCATTTTTTTACTTGCCTGTCCAGCTTCACATATCCTCCTGTCAATCTTTTCCATTCATAATGTCAGTACCCTTCCAAAATACCTCCAACTTACATTGCTATCCTACGAGAAACTCCCACCTACTTATTTCCCCTAAATCCAGACAGTTTGCTACATGAACAAGAAACATGGCTTCAATATCTGCCCTGTCTCTTGGAAAGAGTAAACTTCTAAAGAACCCAGTGTACCACTATGAACACTTCTTAAATAATGTCTTTCAATGAGCTGTACCTTGCCTAACCTTATGTCACTGAAATAAATTGAAATTTTGTCTAAAATTTCAGAAAAATCCATCCACAAACATGAAAGTTGCGTCTGCGCATGCGCAATACGATTTTTAATAGTGTGCATAATGATTAAAAATTATGACCATGGTTGGCAACAGACGAATGATGTATTTAACTAAGAAAAAATGTGAGATCCCAATAACTTCATGGATGAAAAGTGCAACCCATTGGGACTACATTAAAAAAGCAGCCCATAATTTCTATAGGTATAACTGCCAATATGACAGTTGCTCTACTCTTCGGCGCTTGTTTTTCAAATTTACCCTTATAATTAAATGATCCATACCTATCAAAACTGGTACTTTTCCAAATAAAATCCACCACAAAATTGCTATGGCATTCGCTGGGCGCACCCGCACCATTCTTAAGCTCGATCCCAATATCTTCTCCATAATTGTCTGGTACTTTAATAACGTGTCCAACTCCAGCCCAGGTTTTGTGCATTTCACCCACGTACCGAAGCCGCAGTTCATCTCCATGCATAAGCTTCATGTCACCGTCCGTCTTCGCCAAAGTAAAATAGGCGATCGTCTTCTTATTTAAACCGACATCCCACCTAACTTCGATATTTTCTTGAGTCTGCGACTCCTTCAAACGCTTATCGTAGTCTGCCTCTAACTTCACGAGCGGACCGAAAATATTTTGGTATTGATACCCGTCCTCGTAGCGTAACAGTACTTGCTGGGGCTCTTCGTCAACGCCCGGTTTCTCGAGATCTTGAAACGTGGCGTCGACGTTATCCTTCCACAGTTCTTCCAATTTATTTATTTGCTGCGCCGTAATTTGACGTGCTCTCAATTGTTCTTGCTCGGATGGTATTTTGACTAGCCACGTTAAGAAACTGCGATCAGAAATTAGGGGCTTCCATTGCTCTTGTTCCCAATTCATATCCTACAAGAACAGATCATTATGGCAAATGAACTGGTATCAAACTTAATAATATACTGGTATTGATGAGAACAATATCATCTTATAACTATATAAGGTATGTGGTTTTACATGCCAGAAACATGAATGGATTTATTACTGGAGCATCTTTAATTTTTGCTTCAAAAACAAATGATGCAGATTACCATGAGGAAATGAACAAGGACGGTTTTCTTAAGTGGACTTAATTTTTTTTAGGCAAAACCCATTCGCCATGTGTTTTGTTTACATATTACAGGGTTGGCAAAAACCGATTTTTGCCTAAAAACCCATGGCCATTTGAGTATTTTGAGGTTTTTGTTGGGTTTTCTGGGCAATTGGGTTTTTGTATGATTATCGTCCGTTAAAGTCACTAGATATAGAAAGTACCGCATCATCCGCCATTTTTTGGCAAATTTGCTACCAACTTAAAAAAATTGACAAATAAAATCTGAATAGCTGTCATTTTTTATAACCTAACTTCATAGTACTATCATGTTTTATAAAAATATATACAAGGCGCTTTCTATCGGCTACTTCACAATCATGATTTCAAGATCGTGATTCGTAGGATCACGTTTTACGAAAGAACGCGCAAATTTAAATCAAAGTGTGGTTAAGTTTACGGAGTACACATTTGCATTCGAATTACATGTTTTTTGTTTGGATTATGAAAATAATTTAAATATAAGTGGAAGTACTTGCACGATTATGCTCCTCTTCGGTGACTAACCTAACATTTGAGCAAAAATATCCTTGCATTTATAGGTTGGAATTCGTGATCATAAAACCTTTATGTTCAGTTTGTTCACGATTTTAGCAATCATGATGATAAGATGACACTTCGAAAGAACGTGATTTGACAATCCAAACGCGTTTGGATCACCGAAAGAAAGCCCCTACAGATATCTCCAAACAGGTGGAACAATCCCTAACATTAAAGTTACTAGAATCTGGTAACTTCCGCCATTTTTGAGCAAAAATCATGCGTTCTCTTAACACACGAGCCCAATGGATTGCAGTACTTTCTATATTTAGTGACTTTATCGTCCGTATTATTGCGACGCTACCTGTTACAGGATAGAACAAACACCTCAAAGCTAAACTGTAAAAGTTTAGGGTTATGTTGGATCAAAAAAATCAAATAAACGTTCGCGTCCGCGTCCTCTTCTTTATAAAAAGTTAGAAAGCCAACATATAAAAATTGATCATTATAAGGTTGAAGTATTATTTTTTTCTAGTCGAAGACTCTTACTTTATATTTATGTAATGTATGTCTATTAATAGCTTAATGTGAAATAAAGGTTGTATGAAGTGCTTGTTAACGAAAATACAGATCCTTTGCAAAAACCCAAAAATTATAAAACCCAGGTTTTTGTTACGAAATGTTTTTGTTTTTGTACTTTGGGTTTTTGTTTGCCAACCCTGCATATTAAGATTGCTAAAAATTTTCACTCAGTAAACAGATGGGCAGTGGTAGACCCTTACTTGAACTTCACACTATCCACACATTTGAAATTGTGATGGCTTGCTGAGGTTTGTCAAGCATGTGGATGGGGAATTATATATAACTCTCGCCAGGAAAGATTGCCGGTCACAGCACACCTTGTGTAGATCTGCAATCTATGTTTTTCTTAAGATGCGAGTGACTTCCGGAATAGGATCGTGCCAATGTTGAACGAAAAGTCTTTTTGTTCAACATTGACATGATACTATCCCGGAAGTCGCTCACATCTTTAGAAAAACATACATTGTAGACCAGGATCAAGTGTTCTGTGACCGGCAATCTTTCCTGGCAAGAGGTTTAAACCACAAAACACCTACCTCAAGTTTATAAGAAGAACTATGAAAATTGACAACATATTCTTGTACAAAACTATGTTGTATGACACTACAGACATTTTTCTTGTGTCAGAAATGATAATAACAAAAATACAAGAAAATGTATAGTGTCATACAGCCTTTATTAGCGTTGGGCAAAAAAATCGATTAATCGATTATAATCAAACGATAATCGATAATCGGGTTTGATTATTCTATTAAATTAATCGATTAATCGATTATTTGATTAATCGATTATTTGATTAATCGGTTATTTGATTAATCGATTGTTTGATTAATCGATTGTTTGATTAATCGATTATTTGATTAATCGGTTATTTGATTAATCGATTGTTTGATTAATCAATTATTAAGTAAATTTTAATTGATTATTATTAGCTGGATCATCAGTTTACGCAAAAAGAAGCACTCACAGCTCACAAGTATTATTTTATTTTATAGCGGATGTTAAAACGTCACTTTAAGCAGCTAAAATGAATTAAGATTGTATCATCAAAACTAAAGCACACCTCATCGGAGAGTAACCTGCCTAATCATTTATTTTTATTTATTTATTTTTATTTTTGACCTTCATTTTCAAATGGGCAGGGTTTCACCCAAGGCTGTTCTACCAACCAACCCACTATGCATTTGCAAATATCCATGCCCGAACCCGGATTCGAACCAGGGACACTTTGTTGATTATTGATTAATCGATCTGCCTATAGTAATGAACGATTTGATGAAAAGAGTAATGGAATTATTTTTTATTTTTATTATTAAATAATTAACGTATTAATGCATACAAACAGATATTAATCACTCCTTGTGTGTGACAATTGACTTTTGATTAAACGATTAGGTGATTAATCGATGATTTGATTAATCGATTATTTGGTTAATCGATTATTTGATTAAACGATTATTTGATTAATCGATTATTTGATTAATCGATTAATCAGTGTAATCGATTATTTTTCATAATCGATTATCGATTATTCAAACCCGTAATCGCCCAGCCCTAGCCTTTATAATAGCCAACTTCACTCTACCGCCGACTTTTCCATAAATTCCTATTGTGCCACTGGAATGAAATTTTGCGCCCTAATACAAAATTGATATTCTATTATCGCAGTCGTTATTTTCATAAACGTGACGTTACTATAGCATAAATATATCTTCAATTTACCTTTAACGAGTTTTGTGCAGCACATGGCTGACGACATAAAAGCACAACAACAGAATCTGCCTTTGCAGGAATAAATCCTAGCACAAAGACATTACGAACACCACAACTGTAACACTCTAAAACCGTTTCTCCCAAGGGACCATCCTTGTGCAGAGTAACCTCTTTGTGTTTGGCACGAACCTGCAACACGTGATTAGGAAAATATTACGGTGCTATAACTACGTACCAAGTGATTAATAATATGACTGCCGGATGTGTTCCCGCGTCCATTGCAAAACCACTTCTTACACAGGTTACACATCACTACACAGTTCGGCTCGTGAATTCCACAGTATTTGCAAGCATAGTCGGGCAATTCCTTACTATTGTAAAACTCTTCGTCATCTTCCTCAAACTGTAACTCTCCCAAAGCAGTTGTCGCAGCCGATATTTTGCTAATTATGTTAGTTGACTTGTGTGGCACTCCGTTAACCTTGTAATTTTATTACGAAACCATATGTTACGACGGGTTATAAAATAACATGGTAATCTTACTTGTATTCCGGTAACGTGCGTGTTAGAATGATCATGTTGGGAGGCTTGAGTTTGCGATGGTATAGTGAAATCGGTAAAATCACATTCGGAACCTTGTGTATCAGCGCCTATTAAATCAGCTTCTTCTGTATCCAAAAACGTGAGTGTTTGTGAACTTGGACCATACGCATCCACGCTCATGATTATCGATTGATTATACAATTTCTTCTTACAAACGATTTCTAAAAATTCTTAAAAGTCGTTTTTGAAAAATGGAAACGTGGTTTCTTTCGATAGTGGCAGCTTTCCCTACTTACAATAAACTTTTCCCATTTACGACAACCGCCATATTACTTTTGATTAATCATCAATTGTTTCCCCCACAGGCCGCGTGAGCGTTTCCACGTTAAATAAATTCGAAAACCGCGCAATTTAAAATTATTATTTATAACTATTTCTTTTCTAATTGCAATTTCACTAGTAAAAATAGTAATCTGTTCGAAATATGTATGTGACTATAGCAAATTTCACAGACCGAATTCTATAAAACCTATTAAAATTAACAGTCCATTAATTTTCTGTTTAAAAGATCGCGCCATACTGAAAATTGAAATGTGCTAACCTGTATACAGGGTGTTACATTTGAGTTGTGCCAAAAAATTGGGTTATAGCATAGAAGAGGGAATACAATTGTATTTCTTCTATGGTAGTGTGATCTTTCTTCACACAGGTTGGACATTACTGTTTATTCTGTATACACGGTGTCCATTTTTCGAGTGCCACTATGGGGATCTCACTTATCTTAAGAGATAGAAAGTTGGTTAAATGGGGGCAAAGTTGCCAATTTTCGTGCCGAATAAGAATCTGAAAAGAAATTTGAAATATCTTCAATAGTTTTGAAGATATCGCAAAAAACCAACATTTCTGATTTTCGTTTTTAATTTTTTTATGATAAACTAATCGTAGTAGACATTTCTAATTAACACATTATTCGGACACTTTTTAATGGAGATTTCAAATCTGGTATCCTGTTTTTAATAACTTTCAAGATGACGGAGAAACACGTGGCAACTTTAGTTTTTCTTATGGGCGCCATTTTGAATTTTCACATTTTGAGATTACGTCTTTTTTTCTCTTCACAACGATATATCACACATGGTGGTTCAGTATCACATTTTTCCTAAAAATACAATTTTTAAATATTTGAGAAGAGTGCTTTGGAAAAAGAAAACGTTCTTTTGTTGTGAACAAAAGGTTGACTTATTTCATGTAGTGCCATTTACTAGGTTTATGCTAGTTGTATGCGAAAATGCCTTTTTCAAGTGTAGATCAAACAGATATGATCCAAATTTACTACACTTCTCATCGAAATGCCCACATGGCTGCTGCAACATACTTCCAGCGTTATCCAGAGCGGCAACAATCTAGTTTGAGGTATTTTTCTTTGCTGCATAAAAACTTGGGCGAATATGGTTCTTTTAAAAGATGTAGACAGTAATATGGTGATAGACCCAATGAATAGGAGCAGGCAATTTTGCAAGCGGTAAAAATTTTGAAATTTTGACAATGAACATTACTGGTCAATTGAAAATTCTCATCAATTTTCATCAAATACGTACGTTTTAGCGTTAACGTATGGGTCGGTTTATTGGGCGATACAATAATTGGTCCTTAAGAGACTCTAAATGCTGATCGGCACCTCCATTTCCTGAGGACATTTCTAACCGATTTTATTGACAATAGCGTTCCTCTTCATCGTTTGAACTCGATATGGTTCCAGCATGCTAGGAGGGTTGGGGAATGCTTCTCGGAATTGTTCCCCAATCATGTTATTGCTAATAATGGTGACGTACGCTGGCCGGCGCGGTCACCTGGCCTATCTCCCTTGGACTATTTTTTGTGGGGAACAATGAAAAATGAAATTTACAAAACATTGCCAGCCGACCTTGATGAACTTCGTCATTTGTTCACAACAAATGAACGTTTTCTTTTTCCAAAGCACTCTTCTCAAAAAATTAGAATTGTATTTTTAGGAAACATGCGATACTGAACCACCATGTGTGATATATCGTTGTAAAGAGAAAAAAAGACGTAATCTCAATGCCATATTTGAAATCTCCATTAAAAAGTGTCCGAATAATGTGTTAATTAGAAATGTCTACCACGATTAGTTTATCATAAAAAAATTAAAAACGAAAATCAGAAATTTCCAAATCTTCAAAACTATTGAGGATATTTCAAATTTCTTTTCAGATTCTTATTCGGCACGAAAATTGGCAACTTTGCCCCCATTTAAACAAACTTTCTATCCCTTACGATAAGTGAGATCCCCATAGTGGCACTCGAAAAATGAACACCATGTATATGTATCTCGTATTGTATTCATTATTTTTTCAACTTTGATAATTTTTAGTTTTGGTGAATGCGTTTAAAACTGCTCTTAATTGCTCACCAGCTCAATGATAAATGTGGGTATCACTACACCCATAAACACCTATTTCTATGAAACTATATATGGTGGAAGTTGATGGAACCGACTCTATGTGAGCTAAATTCAATAATACTAGCGGATTTTATTCTCTTTAAAAAGACACGTATATTGGTAGCTTATTTTTTACTCAGGTGATATGTTTTAGCACATTTCCACAAAGAAAAAAATGCGCTATTGTGGCCACTTTGTCCGTCCGTCTGTCCGTCCCTACGGCTGTGTTTATCTTAAGAGCTATTGTTCTACTTTTTTCGCTATCTTGTTAGTTATACATGGTCATTCTTGACGAGCGTCAGTTAGAAAGATATGGAAAACCTTTGAAAATGAAAATAAACTGAGAAGTATAAGTACAAGCAGCGAAAATTTGACCTTTAAACATTATCATAATAAAAACAAAAGAATAACATCAAGCGAATTAATTTTTTTATCAATTTGCCACAAGAAGTAACTAAAACATGGAATATCTCGGAAACCGCTTGAAGCAGCTTTTCACATTTTGTATCAAATTAAAGGTCTGGGAAAAAGGCAAACAACGGCGAAGAACAAAATGGGGGGTGCCATTTAAAAAAATGGGGTTACCGAAATTTAAAAATTTAAAAGTTGAGAGCTTTGAAAAAGTGACGTAGTCTCACTTTTTTAGACGGTTTCGTATACCATAAGAAAATTCGATCTTTTCTTAATAAAGCATTGAAAACTGTTTTGCAATATCTCTCACCGTTTTCGAATAATAAATTTTTAAAATGACCCCTGCAAATTCAATTTTTGACATAAAAACTTGAATATCGACGAAGCCCTTGGAGTAAAGGGTCAACTATGGGGTATCGTTGTACTCCAAATTCGACGTAGAATCCGAAAATGTAGAAAAAATAGGGGGTTCCTATTTAAAATAACAAAGTTGATTGCTACTTCCGGTATTTCCGGAAGTAACGCCATCTTGAAAATATTTTAGTTCAATTGATCATGTGCCAAAACCCTTAAAGAACTTATCAGTTTATTTTCATTTTCAAAGGTTTTCCATATCTTTCTAACTGACCCTCGTCAAGAATGACCCTGTATAGTGTGTACCAATGAAGGAATTATTAATGCGTTTATCAAAAAAATTATGAGTGGAAATGCGCTTTTTTATAAATCGTTTACGATTACTCGTTCTTTTTGTTTTTAGTTTTTTGGATACCAGAGCTTAGGGTGAATCTGGATTAATAGATTCTCAATGCCAAAACCAATTTAATTGCTGGCCGATCACACAAAAAACTAAACCAACCCAGCGTAACGGGAGTTCGTGGTGTAGTAAGCATCGAATGTAAAAGAGTGCGCATGCGCTCTCTCCATGTGATAGCAGATAGAAATATTAATTACATTAATTTTAAATAAGGGTAGTCTTGGCTTTATTAGACAAACCATCACAATGTGTTTGTTTACATATTAAGATTGCTAAAAAATCTTATTTCACTCGGTGAACGGATGAGCGAAAGTTGACCTTATCTGGAATCTTGTACTATAGTAGTAACTATAGTAAGTGGTCCTAGAATGTTGTTGTTCAAGTTAGGTGGCTAGTTGATTTGGGAGAAAAAGTGTTGATTTTAAATCTTGCAATCTCTCGAGCCTGACCTGGGTGCGTTACAAAACTAAAACATAATTTATTTTCTTACCGGTTATGCATATACATAATATACAAGGTTAATAAAAATATTAGCATTACAGTTGAGCTGTCCTGGTTCGTCATGATGCTATACAAATCTGTATACCTACAACAGCTATATATTTCGAGATTTTCTTTTATCTTATATTATCGCCTCTAGTATAACGCTTCATAAGTTAAGCTTTCGTCCTCCCCAAGATTCCGTTTCACAATTTTCCCAATAATATCATTCAACGAAGAGGGTTGAATTCCGATTGGATCGGCAACTTTAATTTTAAGGTCGTTAAGACTTAAACGATGGCCTTTTCGGACCGCGTGTGCGAGGACTATAGATTTCGTAAATTTCCGTGAGAAAGGCACTTCCGACGATCTCAATTCTTTGATAGGGCTTCCCATTGCAACTTCGAGAGTGCGAATTTTTTGGACCAGAAGCTTAAATTCGCACGGTTCTAATGAACAGATATGGTCGGAACCTTTTTGATTGTGATTTAGAGTAATATGTCGTTCGATCACCTGAAACGAATGTATAGGTAACTACAAAGTCAACATTCCTGTTTGAAGCCGATATACTTTTGCACCTAAGGCAACAGCGGCAACCGAAATATCAATCCCAATTTCATGTCCAGAATATCCTATGATCACGTCTGGAAATTTTTCTTCGTACAATTTTAAAACACTTAAATTAATGTCGTCCAAAGGAGCCGGATAGGCAGATACGCAGTGTAATAAACAAAATTTCTTATGATAAGCCGATATTGTCTTGTAAACGGATTGAACCATCTCAAGATTTTGCATTCCTATAAGTAATGCGTTTCAAAGAATAGGTAACTAACATTACCTAGCTACCGGTGGAGACAATTAGCGGTACATTTGCTTGAGCGGCCGATTCGATAAATGGCAAGTTGTTACAATCTCCCGATCCAATCTTTATAAATGGCATATCCAATGTTTTCAAAAACTTCAACGATGGATAATCCATTGGAGATGCCGCGAATAAAATCCCAATTTTAGAAGCGAACTTCTGTAAATCAACGAATTGGTCTTCAGAAAATTCCAAACACTGTTTATGATCCTCGTAAGTATCGCCCCATGAGTTTTGATTTCTGTACGGCTTTTGCAACACACTTTTGCTATATTTTTCATATATGCATGTTTTTTGCAACTTTACGCAATCCGCTCCGCATTCCTAATTCACGAATACACTTAATATCGTATAATAATGTTAAATATATAGGTACCTTTGCAGCTTCGATTAAAACCTTCGCAGTCTGGATGTTCCCTTGATGATTTTGCCCAATTTCGGCAATTATGAAGGTCGGTTGATTTTTTCCGACAACTTTTCCTCCCTTTTTGAACGTCAAATCCAGAACCATCTTTCAGACTCTATATACTTATTAGTACACAACTTGTTTATGAACTAACGAGGTGATAAGTGATTAGTCTTTTTGTATGTTATTTATATAAATGTTTTGCATCAATTAAAGGAAGATTTGATAACTTACCAATTTAAAAACTATTTCACTTTATCATAGATATTAGGTAACATAAACATTCTAGTGTAGAGAAAATAGAAGCAGATTTAGATTTAGGTGCTTAGTAGGTACAGACTATTTTCGGGTGTTTGCATCCTACGTAACAATTGTTAAGTATTAGCAATTCAAACTTCCGAACGTCAAAGAGCTACCATGATTACGTCTATAAATGACCATGACGTCACGTCCGAAAGCTAAATGCAAAATTTGCATCACGAGGAAAGCGACGCGCCTTAACATGCTACCAAAGAGGCGCACCACATTTTAATTAGATTAGGTAATTATATCACTAGGATTGGTCGTGCTAACGAGATGAACCCGGAATGAACTGCAATTAATTAATTAATGTAGTTGTATGAAACATTAAGTATCTCTATAGCTGAAACTGCAATTTGATTATAATAGCAAACAAAAAGCTTCTAGAGAAGTCTCGAATCAGCATATCATATTTCATATTAGTCCAAGAGCCCAGTAGGAAAGTATACCTTGAACGTCCCGACGATTCTAATAATTTTCATTGGATTCGCCATAAAAAGTTGTATTAGAATCGACAACGGTGCCGGCGAAAATCCTGCCGAAAGCAATTAAAAAAAAATTAAATTCGCCCCTTATTTTTGGAAAATGTACTTTATTTATTGTCCCGGACGTTCAGGAAGAAGGGTGCATATGGATGAGTTTTATCGGAAAAAGTCACGGTGCCGGGGCGCAACTTGCCGCAACCCTTGGCACCGCGACTACAAATGGGGTGGTAAACCGTACTAAACTACCTTTTTCTCCCGGACCAAAATGACCTATATGAAATATGTAGCTTGCGATTATACGAATATAAAAAACCAACGGTGCCGACTCTCAAGATGCCGGAAGTCCTCGGCACCGTCGATGGAATCCGGGCGCGCGCGAACCTATTGACATTGCGAAAATTGAAAAATTGCAAGAATTCACGTCACTTACCTATGTATTCGGTGAAAAAATGTAACAGCGTGGATACCGCGAGATCAAATATAATCCACAAAATTTTCTCGACGAGAAAAGATTCTGAGAAACTCGTCAAGAAAATCAGAGGATTTGATTCGTGTACGATTCCGCCTTGTAGTACAGGCAAATTGTCCAAAATAGACAAGAAAATTGCGAAGTGGTTGAAACTTGGTTTAAGACGTTTGAAAATATGTATATTTCAAGGAACCGAGGAGTCCCTAACCACAAGAGGTGTCAAGGTGTGCCGGAGTGGTCATGCTCAACTTAGGGTGAACTGGATTTTCACGGTTTTAACAGGAAGTGGCAGTAAAATACTATTTAAATTAAAAAATACGTTGGGGTATATTTTAATAATTAATCAGCTGTACCGGGTGACCCAATAAGATCGTTCCTCGGCCATATCTCGGGAACCGTTCGTCGTATGACTTAGGGGTAAAATAATTTTGGGTAAATCGGTTATGGAGAATCGCTGGAAAATATTTTCAGTTCTCAAAATGTCGAGAAAATTTTGTGGAATATATTTGATCTCGCGGTATCCACGCTGTTACATTTTTTCACAGAATACATACTTAAGTGACGTGAATTCTTGCAATTTTTCAATTTTCGCAATGTCAATAGGCTCGCGCGCGCCCGGATTCCATCGACGGTGCCGAGGACTTCCGGCATCCTGAGAGTCGGCACCGTTGGTTTTTTATATTCGTATAATCGCAAGCTACATATTTCATATAGGTCATTTTGGTCCGGGAGAAAAAGGTAGTTTAGTACGATTTACCACCCCATTTGTAGTCGCGGTGCCAAGGGTTGCGGCAAGTTGCGCCCCGGCACCGTGACTTTTTCCGATAAAACTCATCCATATGCGCACCCTTTAGTACTCTTCCTGAACGTCCGGGACAATAAAGTACATTTTCCAAAAATAAAGGGCGAATTTAATTTTTTTTAAATTGCTTTCGGCAGGATTTTCGCCGGCACCGTTGTCGATTCTAATACAACTTTTTATGGATAATCCAATGAAAATTATTAGAATCGTCCGGGCGTTCAAGGTATACTTTCCTACTGGGCTCTTGGACTATATGGAAAGAATGAGTCACATTTGTTTTCATTCCTTGGTATCGTTCTAGAAAATTCACTACATTATTATCTCGCTCAAATTAGCAAATCTTCACTCCCTCCTTCCCGCCGATCAACTGAATAAATTATGTTTCTAGATTCATAATAAAATGTTTACTTATTTTCCGGTCAACCTCTTATAAATGACAGAAAACAACGTATCGATAGATATCTAAAATTTTGGATCATTTTCGCTCTAAACCGAAAATGCTATTTCGAGAATCCAATTCGTTTTTACTCGATCAGACCCATCACTTGTGCCATCCAATTTAGGTTTGTCTCAAATTTATATTCCATATGTGCAGGTGGTCCATTTTCGTGCCTCACTTTGAATATCTCGGTTAAATTAGTTAAGTTGGAAAACACTTTTGAGCTTTAATCCTTTAAATTTTATTATTTATTGAAAGTATGGCGTGTTAAGGCTTTGTTTTATGTGTATAATTATAACTTGTCTTGTTTATACTGTACAGCTGGTTATGACTTTATATTGGTTTATCAAGTACCTATTTATTTATTTGTATGCATTCATGTGGTATTGTCCTGCATGTGCATGTTCCGTGGAGAGAGTACCTACCGCAAGCAGTTCTAATTATTTGCTCCTTTATCTAGTGTGAACTGCAGCTCCCGTGTCTTGGCAATACGAGAAGGGGGGGGGGGCTTTCTTCGGTTTTGGATGTAGATTTTGTTTAATGGTGGCCGTGGTGGAGTAAATAAGGTTTTGCTATGCATATGTAATTTGCCGCTTAATGAGTTGTTTTGTTTTGCCTAAATTTATCGTAGATACCTAGGTTTTGTTACTAAATTGTTTTATCGGGTTCTCCATTTACATTTATGACGTCCCTTGTGTTTGTTTTTATTAGTTTCTGTTATGTATTGGGTTAAGTTTAGTAAGTTAAGTTGGTACTATAGAGTTTAGAGAAAAGTGTCACAAAAAGGTCGTTCAATGTCTCTTGTTATGTTGTGTTCAATAAAGACTAATTAACGAATTGTGTATAGTCAATGGTCCGGTCACACCTCGTGTAAAGACACAACATAAATTGGCGACGAGATAAAAAGGAACAAAGCGAAAATCCGTGAAAAATCGAAGTCGTAACCTCCAAACCCGGAAGTGAGTCTTGTCAGCCATTTTCCATCAGTCCAGTCGGAAGTTAGTTGCAGTCGAATGTCATTGTAAAAACCATAGAAAACAACAATCAACAAAATGTCACTTATTGGTACGATCGAACCCATCGACTTAGAAAAAACGGAAATCGAAAGCTACCTGGAGAGAATGGATCACCTGTTTAAGTGCAATCAAGTCGAAGGTAATCATGAAGTCGATTTATTTGTCACCCTGGTTGGAAGTGAAGCATACAGAGTGATGAAAAACGCTGTCAAACCGAACAAAGTTGCTAGTCAGTCGTACGAGGAATTAAAGGCAATATTAAAGCAGCGAATGGCTCCAGTGAAGTCAGTCACGTTCGAAAGTCACCTGTTTTATAAAATTAGTCAAGGTAGTATGTCGATCGCTGAATATATAAGTAAACTCAAAGAACAAGCGGATTTGTGTGAGTTTGGAAATTTTTTAGATCGTGCACTGAGAGATAAGTTTATAAGTGGTATGTCAAATAAGAAGATACAAAACCGTCTACTGTCTGAGAAGGATTTGTCGTTTTCCAAGCTGTGCGAGTTGGCTTTAGCACAAGAATTAATACAGTCAGAGAGCCTTGAGTTACAGCAAGATGGTAAAGTAAATAAGTTGTATAGAGGAAACTCGTCCAAACAAGTGAGTCAAAGAAGGAAGGATGTCAGTCAAAGTCAAGTACGTGGTCAAATGTCAGTGTCGTGTAGTCCGAAGTCCAGTCGGAGCTTAGCATCGTCCAGTCAAAAGTCGAATAAAAACTCTACGTCTACGTCTGTTAGTCAAAGGTCAAGTCGAGGCCAGTCCTGTCTTAGATGTGGAAGGTTCCATAATCCAGACACGTGCCCAGCCAAAGAGTGGGAGTGCTTTTTATGTCATCGTCAAGGCCATACGTCCAGAGTCTGTAGGAATAAACAGAAGAAAGTCCATTTACTAGTCGATCAAGAGGATGTCACGGAGGAAGCAAAAGAAGAGTCGACCGATGAAGAATTCGTGGGATTCTGCAAGAACATTCAGGTGTCAAGTAAGTCTAATCCAGCTATTTTGAAAGTTAATGTTGAAAAACGCATAATAGACATGGAAGTTGATACAGGCGCAAGCGTAAGTTTAATTTCTGTTGATACTCGTAACAAATATTTTAAAGATATACCAATTTGTAAAAGTAGGTTAAAAATTAAAACCGTACAAGGAGATCAGTTACAAATTGTAGGTGAAATGATGGTAAAGGTTAAATGTATTGAGTCCGATGTCAAGTATGAATTGCCGTTAGTCGTTGTCTTGTCTAAAATCGAGTTTATACCACTACTGGGTAGGAATTGGCTAAATATGTTATTACCTAGGTGGCGTGAAAGTTTGCATTGTAATGTCATTGAGGTAGATATTTCAAAAATTGTGTCTGAATTTAAAGACAAGTACAGAAATGTCTTTAGTAACGATAAAGCAAAATGCATCAAAAATTTTAAATGTAATATTGTGTTAAAAGAAAATGTTACCCCTGTATTCCACAAACCGTATACCGTCCCTTACTCTATTAAAGAAGAAGTGGAAAAGGAACTTGAAGAAATGGTAGTAAATGGAATATTGGAAAAGGTTGAATACAGCGAGTGGGCGAGTCCAATAGTCGTAGTGCCCAAAAAGTCATCGAAGTCCTTAAGAATCTGTGTTGATTTTAAGGTAACTCTTAATCCATTAATCAAGGTTAATCATTACCCATTACCGAGGGTAGAAGATATTTTTAACCAAGTTGCTAAGGGGAAATTCTTCACTGTTCTTGATTTGAGTAATGCTTATCAACAGTTAGAGATGAGCCCTGAATCCAAACATTTGTTAACGATTAACACACACAAAGGTCTTTATCAGTATAATAGATTACCTTACGGCGTAGCTTGTGCACCAGCACAATTTCAAGCAATTATGGATCAGATACTTCAGGGAATTAAAAATGTTGGC